TGCTTTACCAAAAACTTAGAATGGAAATACCAAGTTTTTCATGGTTACAACCATAAGATTTCTTTCAAACCTCCACAATTTGAAATATATTAGTAACCAATATGATCATAAAGCATTACATTTAAGGCAATATGTAAAATCATTTGTTTTGTTACTGTTTGAATAAATACAGACTGAAGTGTAACAAAAGCAAGTTGCTTCCTTGATAAATAGTATTTGTATATGCTTTATTTAATTTGTGTAAATACCAACAGTTTCATGTGTTTGATGTTCATTAGACAAATAAAAACATATAAAAGCTAAAAAATTAGTTGTTCGAACAACATACATCATCAAAGTTTTTGAGCTAACAATCTGGAAGGAAGAAAACTAGTCAACAGAGCCCACCCCTAACTCTTGGGTTACTCCATTCTAATAGTGCTGGGGGGGAGGGACCCAGCTACAATTAATAGCTTCATCACTAACTTGCACTTAAATATAATCCTACCAACTTGTTTGTGGTGTAATCCAGTACTGTTATCAGTTTTTCTGTGGGCTATTTTTAACATATTCATTTGGTCAATGGCTAGGATATTAATCATTCACCCCCCCCCCCCTTGTGTTACAGGTTTTTATTTGATCGTGGAATGGATTTTAAATGATTTTTTTGTGCAGGTTGTGCTAATTTTTCTGGAGTGGTATTTAAAAAAGAAGTTTGAGGTGGCTTTACTGGATTTTTGGTGATTTTTTTAAAAATATATGAAGTAAATTATCAAAATGCTGATAGCTACTCGTTAACAAACAGAAAATATTTCATTCAGTTTTCAATTCTGAAACTGGTTGTTAAAATTTTCCCTGCAATTGAACAAATGTAACATTCATTTTTTTTTACCTGAATGTTCTAATACAAATATAACAAAATGCAACAATTATAAGATAGTGAAAAAGATTCCCATAAACATTATATATCTACATTCCCTCTAGATTACAGAAAAAATACAGGTTTTTCACACGACTGACCACTTGCATTTTATGCATGTATAGATCCTGATCTAATTGTATTGTTTTAAATAAAATATTGCCCATATTTATTAAATTCCACCTTGTATACAGCAAGTAAGATTTCATTACAATAACTGAAATCGGACCAACCTCTTGGGAGGGCCTCATTCAAGGGGAAGGTGTAATGCACTCATCCCCTTAGGTGGCACTGTGCTAAAATTTTCCATTGATATTCTAAGCATACTACATAATTTTTCATGTGATCATTTTGTTATAGTTTCTTATATCATATGTATGGAAAACACAGAAAAGAACCATATGAACTGATATTGAAATAAGTTTAACTTTAATGTTGCTCCAAAGAAGAGGTTTCATGTATCCATGGCATCAAAGAGAAGAGCATTATTTTTTCTTGTAGCAACAGGACAGGAACCAAGGACCCCTGAACACACAGTCTGATATGCTAACTAGACCACACTCAGCCCAAAGCTAAAGTAATAGCCGTATTTACTGAAATGGCAAGCCATGCATTTTGAAATAACAAAACAGTAGTGATTTGAGTGCTTATATAGACACACACACACACACACACATATATAAGATATTTGAAAATAATTCACACCAAGTACACAAATATATAACCAGGCAATAAATGATCCATAAGTTTATATAGAAAGAACAGAAATGTCAAAAAACAATTCTTTATCTAAGCTTTTGATTAGAGCTGAGAAATAAGTGGTATTTGCTAATCTATGAATCAATATCCCCATTAATCAATTAATTACAATTGATTAGTACAGTGCTCTTCCATCCTCAAACCTGGTAAGTACAAGAGAGACTGCATAATTCTTTTTGTGATTCGTAGCATACACATTTTACGGACATCATAACAGTACAATCTGCAATGTTAAACATCCCTTATGTGACATAATTTTAGTGTATTGACTGACTGACAGACAACACACTACTGTATTGTGTTGCGATTGTTTAAAACAGATGACCTTCCAGGCAGCCTTTGACCTCCTTTTGGGGAAATAAAACAAAGTTGCTACGATCCATAAAATGAACTCTTTCAAAAACCTTTAGCAAATTAGTAAAACTAAAAACCCTTTCCTAAAGTCATTTTGAGAATCACTAATTAAATGAAAACTTTCCAAGTGCTTTTACTTCTGATAACAGATCCCAGTACCTTTCTTAGAAGAGAAATGAAACTAATAAGCCATTAGTTTCTTAGATCTCTCCAGGCATCCTTTTGGGAAAAAAAACATGAATAATATTTAGCAATCATCCCATCACCAGCAATACTGCCATGGCAAGAGCCTTCTGCAAAATAGTTGTTAGTCTCCACTATCTCTTCACTGGATTTCTTTAATTTGTTTATAATAAATCTCATAAGGACAAGGAGATTTATTCTCTAGAAATTATATTTACACTTCGAAGTTACAGAAGTGAGAAGAAACAGAAAGTTACTTGCATCTAGCCGTGTTACAAATTACAGTTCAGAGTACACATTTGTAAGTTGTTACAAAAATGTTTAAAAAAATGTAGCATAACATGTAATTTGTTTATAAGTTATATTATTACGAGTATGAGTCTGATTAACAATTAAACACTTAATAATATCTTACCCATCTTCACTTGTAATTCTCCTGTTTTCTCTTTCGCTTATAAAAATTTAAGATTTGTGAAGTAGACTTTGCTTTCAATAAGGCACTCACACACCCTAATATGAATATTTCGTCACTGACTTAAATTTTAGTTATGCCGTGAATTTCTGGCCGCCAATATTATGTGCCCAAGATAGTATTTCAATGTCAAACAAGTCTAAATGCGAGAGACGAATACACGAGGCTCTCATATGAATCACGTGATTTTATGTAATATATATTACAACTTATTGGCTATTCAAGGTCAAACAAGTCTAAGTGCGAGAGTCGAACACGCGAGGATCTTATTAAGAGGAATCACGTGATGTTGTGGAACTTATGCCGCAATGTTGAATATTAAGTCGTATTATTAATACTGCGTTGTAAGTTGCATTTCTGAAAGGTTTTTTTTCTTACATAAATATCCTTTAAGTATATATCTATAGTATATACACACTTTAATGGGGAAGGGAAAGCAAAATCAATGGAATTTGTCACCATCAGTTAGCCATGACATTTCAAACAATGGATGCGTTATATTATGCGATCTTTCGATTACTTTTAAACGTGTTAAAATCATATTCTGTTCCGATCACTTTGGGGATTTCCTACTGCAAGTCAGCAATTTTCTTTAATTATCACAGTTCTTCTTTATATATCAATATATGATTTTGTTGAATATGAATTACCATCAAGGAGAAGCATAGTCGAGGAGGGTGGGTCTAATGACCACTCCATCATTCTAAAACTGTTTTTTTAACTTGAAAAAGACTTAACCAAGACGTTTACAACTCAGCACCCTATTACTGTGGGGTAAACTAAGCTCATATTTGTGTTTGTTCTCTTATTAAGTTTTGAATACTTTCGTTTTACAATTTTCTGCTAAGCTAAGGTAAATCACTTGAATTCTTTGTGTAGAAGAAAAGGTCTACACTGTTTTCGAAAACGTCCGACCTGTATTGCTGGCTACGCACCTGACAATGCATTTCTATCTTGTAATATTATAGTATTTATTGAGAATTTATCATTTATTCGGTGTATATATTGGTTTTAACACAACACCTAAATATCTCGTTCTTTTGTTATTTTCGAAGGGATAATACAGTTCAGTGTACACTGTAAAAGTTGTTACAAAGATTTATATCGAAAACGAAACACAATATGTAATGGATTTATAAATTACATTACTATAATTAACAGTATTAGTCTGATTAATGATTAAACATTCAATGTTATCTTACCCATCTTCACTTGTTCTTTTTTCACTTATATAAATTTAAAAATTATAAAGTTGACTGTTTTCAACAAGACAATTACACAACCTAGCTAAGTGGATTTCGTCACTGTTTTAAATTTAGTTATACCGTGAATAACCTGACGCCAGTATCACGTGACTCGGGGGGAGTAATTCAAGGTTAAACGAGTCTAAATTCGAGAGTCAACCAACGCACGAGGCTTTTACTAATAGGAATCACTTGATGTTAGAATAATTTGTTCTATGGCGAAATGTTGAATATCAAGTGGCATTATTAACACTGCAGCAGTATTTATTGTTGTTTCTTCATCTTTATTTTTACATAAATTCCATTTCAAAATATTTTCAAATGCAGCTTGTAGTAAGTAAGAAAAGGCAAAATCAATGGCATTTGTCATCATGACTTATAGCTATGACATTTCAAATAATAAATAAATGATAAGTGATATTGCTTTCTTAACATAAAGTAACAAAATGGCTATCAGCACTCTATCCACTATGGAGAATCGAACCCCGATTTTAGCGCCGTAAGTCCATGAACTTACCACCGAACCACAAAGAGACATTAATGGGATGATTCCATGACATATGATTACCTCTTTATGAATTAAAACCACCTTTAATTCCATGGTGTTTTCTGATTGTCACCAAGTTTCTTTAATTATAACTGTTATATGGTGCATCAATATATTTTCTTGTAATATTATGGTATTTATTCTGATTTTATCATTTTTTCGTATATGCACAAGCTTTAAGATATTAGTGGTCGCGAAAACCATTAAGTTGATTTCGTTCTAGCTGCAATTGTTTATTTGTTATTACAGAGGGTATAATTCCTGGTCTTTCCTTAAAAGAGGATGCTGCAGTACTGCATGTTGTACAAGGATGTTAACAGCAATGTCTTTCAATGGTAGTTTTGGTGATATTTCAATATTACACTCTCACCTATGTTTGAATGAGAGTGACCAGTCAATGAGTAGAACAAGTGGCTCTATGCAAATACTATGTTTATTGTAAAATATGAAACTGTTGTGAGCTACATTTTTAATACTATAATTTAGATATTTGTTGTTAGATAGGGCATGTCATGAAGTTTTCTGGAAATGTCATGAAAGTCAAGAATCTAAAAGTTATGTTTACTAAGCAGAAAAGGAATAATGACATAAAAGTTGCTGTGTGAGCTATTGGATTATTTATTAAATTAATGAGTGAATCAGTTCAGTGCCAGTCAATGAGTAATTCATTTCTGTGTTTCAATTAGCGTACTAAAGAGAGAGATAATTATGGGTGTTTGTTATTAATTGATTAATGAGGAACTTCTTCAAGTAAGTTTGTAATTAAGTTAGACATATAATAGTTTTAGGGTTTCTGTTGAAGTGCTGTTTCTGAAGTGAGGCCTACAAGTGAATATAGTTTGTAGAAAACGTTATTGAGAAAATAAATTACTTCGTTATTATTATGTGGACTGAACAAGGCATCTTTCTTACCAAATAATCATAAAGAACCTACCCAATCACAACACATGTTACAACAGAATGTTTGATTTAAAAGTAAATGTTTCCACGTCAGTAAAACAAGTACAGACACTGTGTTTGTGTTTTATGTGAGATACAATAAACATTGTTCATTTTGTGTTCCACTTTTTTGCCCAGCCTCCTTATTTCATTTATTTACATAATTCAGTTAGTTGGAGGCATTATTTCACACTGAACATATTGTTACGACAGCGGAAGTCACGTGACTCTGGTAAAACGTCATGAACTTCTAGAAAAATCCTGCTCCTTCTTGAAGTCTCGAGAGGCTACTAGATATGCGGTAGGCTTGTATATATAAGCCGGTAAGAACTGACGGCAACAATGTAATTGAACTGCGGACAGAGAGAGATGTATTGTTGAGCGGAGCACGTGAGCCGTTCATTGTGAATTATAGCGTTTGTTATAGCGCAACTGTGGAAATTAAGTGTATTGCAAACTTGTATTCAGAAAGAATAAACCAGTTTTATTTAAGAAAGGACTTGTATCGCTAAAGTTTCTTCGGAAAGAATTTTTACGGAAAATTAACTAACGACCAGAGACGTAACAATATTCATCTAGGGTGACCAGATGATTAGGTTTGTTTTGAATTTTGTGCAATGCTACACAATTCTAGCCTTCCTAATTTAGCAGTGAAAGACTAGAGGGAAGTCAGCTAGTCATCACCACCCACTGCCAACTCTTGGGCTACTCTACTACCAATGACCAGATGAGTAAAGCTGAAAAATAATAGTCGTATATTTAAAAATACTGTAATTTAGTAGCACTTCTAGTAATGAGAAACAAACATTTATAAGACAGACTGTTAATTAAATAAATTGTATAACAGTTGTAACAAATTTGTTGTTATATTTTTTATTTTAATGGAGGTTGTTTAGATTGAGTTTATATTTAAAAACATGCATAGCTTGCAGTGTTAGATATGTATTGCGCGACTCCCGCCTATTCTCCAAAGTTGTACAAGTTTCTCAAGAGTAAGAATCAACAATATATATGTGTGTGTAAACGCTTTAACCAGTATTGTTACATAAGGTTGAAGTTTCTAGTGAGTGTCTACTATTATTAGTTCGCTATAATCAGCATACTATAAACTCTGAAAGCTCTAGTCCTGATTTTAAGAACACTTATAAATCGGAAAATTTAAGATATTCGATCAGGAATATTTATAAATTTCGAACATTACAAATCGTTTAACTTCAGTGGTTTCACATGGGACATCAGTATTTTTTACGAAAATATTATCAACTTCAACGGTGGAAAACACTGTGTGGCCGAGGAGACAAAGCTAATCTATTTAAAGAAAACTTTATATTGTTTGTAACTTTGTGAAACTTTTGTTTATAAATCATTGTTTGTAGTAACTATTTGTAATAATTGTTATTGTAAATTATACTGTTGTATATTAAAACGTATTTGTGTTAAAAACGAAAACAGTGTGTATCAATCTTAAATATCGTAAATTGACTAATATATCAGCATATATATCTAAATACTAAATCCAAAGTACAACTTAATTATTAAATTTAAATTATCAGTTAACTCGGCTTCGGACTATTCGAAATTCTAATAAGTAACAGAGTACATTGTGATCCACAATAATGTTTATCAGGTTAGATGCTAGTAGTTATCCCTTCACTTCAGACACATGTGCTGATTGACTGCCTCAGGGAAGGGGAGAAATGATGTCATTAAAAACGATGATGTCATAGTTCCACTAAGTGGGGCAAGCATAAATTTGATCAACATACTTATAACTAATACAATTGGTATAAAAATTTATTCATTAGTTAATTACATTTAATGACCATTTATATTTAAATCATCTTAAAAATAATGCTTATCACTAATTTATTAGTTAATTACATTTCCTGACGATTTATATATACAGTCCAGAAAAAAATGTTGATTAAATATTATGCATTAATTAAAACTTACACTTTTACTAGTTTAACTATATGCTGTCATTTAATTTACACATGTTTTACAAAAGTAGATAGTGTTCTACATATACATCATGTTACTAAAGCAAAATGTTTTTCAATGTGTCTCAACATGCAATTATGTCATCAATATTATGTTTATTAAATATTATGCAATAATTAAACTTACACTTTCACTAGTTTGACCTTATGTTATAACTTGAAAAAATATTTAATTTTTACGTATGATACATTATAGTTTTATCTTACACGAGTTTTACAAGGGTGAACACAACACTCCCACATATGATCAATGTTTATATTTAATTATGTTAAAACCATTATTTTAACTGTCCATGGGATTTTAAAAAATATGCTGTGAGTGTTACTATACTTCCACATGTGATTACATCATCAATGTCTAGATTTAATTATGTTAAAAGTATTATTTTGCACATTTTAACATCTGTAGTAATAAAATTTTCTACAACGGAAATATTAAATGAATGACTTACTGTTTATCCATCCATTTTCTATAGAATATTCTGTTGAAGAATAAAATTGCATAAAACTTTGAGACTGTCTAATGCTATTAGGAATTGATCACTGGCAAACACACCTCCAAACTTCTTTGCATACACAGATTTTGTGAAAGTATGGAATACATTTCTAAGTTGTTCATAGCTTTTTAATATCTGTCTACAACAGTCTAAAGTTTAGTCAAATCTAGGTAACATTTCAAATATAAATATCCTGTCCATTTCACCACTAATAACACAGGCCTGTGATGGTTTTATTGTCTTGAAATTTTTACATGTTCTACAGTAATTCTTGTATGCTGAATCCAAAAATGATATCCATTTTTCTCCATCGCTTACAGATTTTTCACAAAACGTCATAACACAATACATAAAAGAACAAACACAACACATATTTTTGAGACTAAAAGACGTATATTTCACACAATACAATCAGGATGAATGAGGATGCATATTCGTTTGACATCAATGTTTTTCTTCTTTCTTCAGTTTGTTTGTATTTTTGTTAACAAACATAATAATAAAAATGTTCATTGTGGTAAACGAAATAATAATTTGATTTAAGCAAGAGTTCTTTTTCTTCCCGATTTGTAAAATATCCTTACAGGATAGAAAAAATGAACATTATTTTCGAAATATGGAAAATCAATTACTAAAACCAAAACAACTTTTATGGAGTTTAAATTGGCAGGCTTGTGTATCAGACTGATGCAGTTCTACTACATGGAAGAAAGAATGATGAACCAACCTTTAAATGTATGTATATCATTACATATATTTCTTTGGTTCTTAATCTAATTGTTGTGTTTCTTTGACACAGTAATTTTTTCAGTCATATTCAATATATTAATAAATAATGTTGCTGTAATTTACTAATTATATACTATTTTATGTTTTAGTCTATTGTAAAGTAAAGAAATTCTGTTGACAATAATGAAATGGTGAGAAAGATCAAATTCAGCAGGAAAGAAGAACCAGTAAAACAGAAAAAAACGACAGTTAGGTTCCTCTACTATTATACAATGCAATAAAGCACCTGAATCATCTCATGCCTATCCTATTGGGAACGACCATTACATCACTCTATCAACTTACAAAAATAATTTGAATATTCATATTCAACAGTTAAAGGACTTTGGAAAAAACAAAATATATCCAATCAAGGAAGGTATCATTTTTTCTTCAACAGAATGGGAGAAACTTACACAATGGATCTCAAACATTAGTGTGGTTGTACAGAGCATAACTGAACAAGATATTCTTCTGTAAGGATGGAATCGTGTAATTTGTGTTACATAGGTTAATAATATCTCCTCTATTTTGTTTACATATCAATTTGATTATCATGGTATTGATATGGTATCTAATAAGATTTTCTTTGTTTTATCAAATTCAGAATGGCAGAATTTATGTGCACGGATTTCTCATTTTGATACTTACCTAAACACTATAGTTCATAATGAAAAGTAATTGAATAAATAGATTAAACCAACTCTTATTCTAATAAATGCTAGACAAGTGTACCATATTTTACAAATTGTTGTTTGGTATTAAGCACAAAACTACCCAAAGGGCTATCTATGCTCTGCCCACCATGGGTATTAAAACCCAGTTTCTAGCAGTATAAATCCACAGACATACCGTGCCAAATTTACCATAATCAAGTTCAAGTAAGAACACGCTATATAAAACTAAATGTTTATTTCTTAGGAAACACTGAGCTCAAAAGTGAACTAAACCACGAGTCTACTCATTAAAATTTAAATTCAACTTAAACTTACTCTCAAATTCAAGCTAAAATGATGTTCAAATCACAGATCAAAACAGTCTAAAGTTTAAACAGAACAGTAAAATTACATAAACTGATTTTCTAATCATGTAATCCACCAGAAGCTAGGCACTCTAACAAGCTTCCTAAATTCAGCATACACTATATGCACCACAGAAAACATCGATAAAAATGTTACGCACTTAACTGAATGTTTCACTAACGTTAACTAGTTCCCTACTAAAGTAGCTATAGAAACTATTAATAAATTTAAAAAAACAACACACATACAGACAATAGGCGTTTAAAAACAACCAAACTCAAACACTGTGTAAAAACAAAGAAAACCTAATTACTTGCATCATCCCATAAAGAGAAAACATTAGCATACCTCGATCAGAAATTTCGATAAGATTAGCACATAAATATAACTTTAACATAACAACTAGATTCATTTTCACCCCTGTAATAAAAATTGAACACATCTTAAGAAAATCGTATAACGAACCCACCTCACCAGGAAACACAAAATATAATGTAATAGTTGTCCAGCCTTTTACATAGGGGAAACAGGACATAACTTGAAGTTCAGGTTAAAAGAACACCGCCTTCCCAAGTCCATGAGTATATTGAGTAAAAACAGTTTTACTGAACATAACGTCACACTACTAAAACATGAGCCTGACACTAACAGAAGATCAGAGAAGAAGTATTAATAAGGTCAAACAATCCCATAATTACCAATCCCCCCCCCCCCACATTCCTAAGCTTATGCAAATATTTTGCATAAAATATTCTAAAGTTTTTATATTTATTCATCTTTGGATTATTTTTTTTTTTGTTTAGCCATAAATAATCTGTAAAATTCACTCGGATTGATATTTACATGGATATGTAACTACAATCAATTCTAGAATTTAAGCACATTGTTGGATTTTGAATGTCGTTTGTTAATTTCCCGTATAATTTCTTTCCGATGAAACTTTAGCGATACAAGTCCTTTATTTACATAAAACTAGTTTATTCTTTTTCAATACAACTTTGCAATACACTTAATTTCCACAGTCACGCTATAATTCACAACGAACGCACGATTCACGCGCTTGACTCAATTGCCATCTCTATCTCTGTCTGCAATTCAATTACCTTGTTGCTGTCACTTCTTGGCGGTCTTATATACAAGAATACCGTACACTAGTAAACACTCGAGGCTTCACGAAGGGACATGATTTTTCTAGAAGTTCATGACGTGTTACTAGAGTCACGTGACTTCCGCTGTCGTAACAATATTTTTGAAACTGGTAAAATTCACCACAAAGGAATCTTATATTCTTCTTGACGATGACAACCTTTATGGCCTTCTTTGGCCAATCTATTTTTTGTACTATCATGAAAAATATTGGTTTTCTTAAAAACCGCTTTCTTAACGTAGATATGTAGATGAAACCTCTACCGTCATTATAAACTACGGCCAAGTTTATCAGTTTCTTGGGTATTTGAACAGCAAATATCATTGTATAAACTTCATTGTTGAACTTCAGCAAGATCATAAACTCTCATTTCTGGATATGCCATTTAAAAAAAACATTTACTGGCTTGTACTTTAATTTCACAAGTTTTGTACCAAATGTTTTTTTTTTTAAAGAAAACTTGGTTAAGATTTTGTTTCATTGTAGTACTTAAGAAATTTTACATAAGAACTCAATTACGTAAAATAATTCTTATGCACAAATGGTTTTCCTATACATGTTATTGACAGAATACTTCATAATTATCTGGAAAAGCGATGTTTAGTAAACCAGCTATATACCAAGTTCCTAAGTATCCTGCTGTTATCATCTTGCCATATATGGATAACTATCCTTTGATGACTAAAAATTAGTTAATAAGTGTGCTTCATAGAATATATCCTCAAATACAGCCGAGATGTATTCTTAAACCTCGTTGTTGCCTACATCTTTTTAAAGATTTCAGGACTGTATTCCTGCATTAATGTAATCAAATGTGGTTTATGTAGTGACTTGTCCTCGCTATCAGCAAGGTTGTATCAGGTGCACTAAAAGAAAATTAACT